TCCCCTTCCCCGGGCGCTCGGACTGTCCTTCGGCCGCCGCTAACGCCTCCCGCGTGTGCTCTGCCCGCAGGCAGGTCAGCAGCCGCCCTGGAGGATGGACATCAGGCCGAACCACACCATCTACATCAACAACATCAATGACAAGATTAAGAAAGAAGGTAGCGATGTCTGCGGAGAGCGGGCGTCACGCACCGGGCAGGCTTCCGCGCCTCTCATACACTCCCACGCAGCACTCGGCGTTTAGGCAGCGCCGTGGCCTCCGGGGCTCTTAGAGGCGCCGTCGGGACGGCGGGGGTGCGCCGAGCTCCCGGGAAACGCTGCTCGTAACGGAGCAGCAGCTAAAGTCAACGAGCGTAGCGCAATGGTCAAGTATTTTTGTAAACTAGGACCCGTGTTTCTAAGGAAGCTTCTGATTGCCTCTCTGCTCTGGTTCTGTAGCTAACTGCACGTTCACATAGTATATAACTGTATACAATATGTGTAAGTGTAACGATAGCAGTGATCAGAATACCCAGTGATGCTAGGAGGCACGTTGGTATACGTTTCGGTGGTCAGCAGTCCTCGCTCGCTGAAAGGTGACATGCTCGTTTGTTTTAGTGCCATGCAAAAGCAATGAAGACTGTATGAGGTAGCCTGCTTTGTGTCATCATGTTAGAGACACTGCCTTGAAGTTGCTGCAGCCCTCTCTAGAGAGGGGTGTCTTCATGCTTAGGAATGTTATCTCCTCACAGCGTGCCAAAAAAAATAATCTCTTGCCCTTATCTGGCTTTATATTCAGTGTCTGCATAGAACCATCCACTTCATGCTCATGCTTAGCTTGTAATCTAAAGTGATCACCATAATGTATTGCTTATTTTTGGTGAACTGAGTGCCTGGATCAGACTAGCACGACTTAAATGTTTCTTCAGGGTGCTTCAGAGAGAGATCTGAAAGTGGGAGCAGCTTTGCTGAGAAATTACTAGTTAGCTTGTCAAGATGGTTCTACTGAACAAATTTAACTTGGGGCTTTGTTTGTAGCATGTTAAGTGCCCTATAAACTACTAAGTCTCCATTATGAAATTGTGTGGTTATAATTTTTAAATGTAGGATTCCAAATTACCTGTAAAGCTTACAAACGTGGCTTATTTTTAACACAGTTCTTGAAGTTATTTTTCAGGTAAGTGTTTTGATAAGAAAACTGTTGTAAAAAAATACAATGCTGTGGTTAGTCAAGCGCAGCTGGAGAAAGTGACGGTGGGCTGGTACTACCAAGACTCATCAGCGGTAAACAAGAGGCAGTGCTCTTAGGTTGCTGAAATATTTCAAATGTAAGATTTGTGAGTTAGAATAATTTCCCAATACAGAGGATTTATTTAGCTTGATTGGATAAGATTAAGGTTTAATTTGGCATGTAGTCAGGTGATTTTAAAGAATGAAAATAAATCTATTGCAGCTGTAAGGTACAGTGCAATCATACAAAACCATATTTGGATCCAGAATATGAAAATATGTTTCACGTGCGTGAAAGAATTGATTAAACAGTTACAAACAAAACTTCCAAATAGAATTAGCCTTCAAGTAGTTATTATTTTAAGTCATACCTCTTTACTATTGCGTGTTACGGTATTGATTTTCTGATCAGTCTTTGATGGCTGTCATACATCATACTTGAATGTGTGAGTTTCCAAATAGAATTAGCCCTCAAGTATTTATTATTTTAAGTCATAGCTCTTTACTATTGCATGTCACGGTATTGATTTTCTGATCAGTCTTTGGCTGTCATACATCATACTTGAATGTGTGAGACTGTGTGTATATATGTATATGAAAAAATGTATATCGAACCCCCATGTAATTGTTACTCTTAGACTGGTAGAATGGATGGTGGTACAACTTTTTCACTAGCTGAGTACTTGAGGTGCGAAACCAAGTGTTACACACCAACTTACAAAAACGGGGCAAATAAACTTGTACTCTTGCAACAGTTTTGATAAACTCATGTAATGTATCACTGTGTGAGCTAAAGCTGGCAAAAGTTCTTGTCCCTGAAGGACAGCAAACTCTGGAAGTGGATACTTGCATGTAACCTGTTATAATCCATTTTTTCTTATTGTCAACAGAACTGAAGAGGTCCTTGTATGCGTTATTCTCACAGTTTGGTCATGTGGTTGACATTGTGGCTTTAAAGACTATGAAGATGAGAGGACAAGCTTTTGTTATATTTAAAGAACTTGGATCGTCTACCAATGCTCTGAGACAACTACAAGGTTTTCCGTTCTATGGGAAACCAATGGTAAGTTAATTTGTTTGTTTTTTAAAGAAAAAAAAAATTCTGTGGTATGATACAGTGTTTTGGTACTTGCACCTTGTGAATTAACTATCACGTGTACTTGTACTGCTATTCAGTCACGTCACATTGTGGTAATACATATGTTTATGCAAGCTGGACGGATGCTGGAGAGACTGTAGTTAAAACACATAGAGGTTGAATGTAGCATTTAGGCTTCCTAAGTGATGGCTTTATGTTTTTCTATGCTGGATTAAAGTTCTTAAGACCTCAAATACTTCCATTTTACTCATCATGTCTTCTGTTGAACTGATGAAATTTATTCTGTAATATTATTGAAATTAAGTGCTTTCAGTTAATTTATCTAGAGTAACCTTAATTACTATTACTACTAAATAGCTAGAATATGATGCTTCCTTTTTGAAGTAACAGTGAGTAGGGTGAAGATCTCTGCAGTTTTACTTTCCAGAAATCAACAGATGTGACCAGTGATTTATTTTTAAATTGATGGCTAGTTCTGCTTGTGCATGCATTAGATCACCAAACCAAATAACGGCATTTCAGTATAACTTCGGTGAAGCAAATACACTGCTAGGTGACAGAAGGTGATTTAATAATGTACTTGATAATGTGCAGAATAGGACAACAATTGATACCTTGTTATTGCTGCCTGCTTGGATAATTAGCCATTTCTTAATTCTGCAACTATTTGTGAGCCGTAATGGTACATGTAAAATGCCTGCTTGACTTTGTGATGGATGGATATATTGATACCGGTTTTGAGCATTAAGGAAAGCACAGACAGCTCTTGTGTTGCTGAGCCACGAGCTTTTTTATTAACACTTTCAGATTTGCTAATGAAATCCTTAACAAGGAATCGTGTGAGCTCAGTTCTGTTGTTTACCCTTAAAGAGTTTTGTGCTCGGTAAAACTCAATAGGGAATCATAGAATTGTAGAATCATAGAATGGT